GAGCAAGCCTTTCTCCAAGACACGTGGAAATGCTAACTTTCCTGGCTATGAACAAGAGCCTTGTGCAGTTTGGGATTGCATAGTCAGAGTGTAGTAAGTTGAATACAGTTGTGAGCACTGAGCACAAATTGCACTTTTGTTATATTTGAGTCAGTGAGACCAAAACTTTACTTTTACTTTACTTTTTGTGATACCTTAGTTTCAAGTAAATACATCATTTGATTTAAATGCAGTTATGTTTGATGCCAGAGGCAAATGAAGGTCAGAAAAACCTAAACTTTTTTTTAATTAATGTATTTATTTTTGTGTTGTTAAAGCCAGTGCCTTATATTTATTTTACTCAGTGGTTTACACTATGCTACACAGTTCAATAATTGTTGCAACAAACTGCATATTTAATTAAAGGTTTAACGAACTATGACCTTAATTGTCTTTATTTTTAGTTAGTATATATCTGAAATCTCATGATGGTTATATACAATATTAGCAGGTGCATTCTCGTGCGATAAGCAGTATGTTCTATATTCTATTAACATATGATCTGATTAGTCAATTAATCGAAAAAAATAATCGATGACTAATCGATTATAAAAAATAATCGTTTGTGGCAGCCCTAGCTGTGACTTGTAAGAGGAATGATCTAAATGGTAAATGGCTTGAATTTATTTAGCACCCTATCAAGTCCACACAACTCCAAAGTGTTTCACACTACAGACATTCACACACTGATGATGGTAAGCTACATTGTAGCCACAGCCACCCTGGGGCACACTGACAGAGGTGGACCATACACCGGCCCCACCGGACCCTCTGACCAACAATCAGTAGGCAAGGCAGGTGAAGTGTCATGCCCAAGAATACAATGACTGAGACAGCTGRAATGGGGGATCGAACCGGCAACCCTCCACCATAGCTGATGTGTTTTTGTTGTGTTGTTCCTATAAGTATATTAAAACTTTATGTACCCAGGCTCCCTCTACAAGCTTTCAATACTTCTTGGAGACCTGATTCACTCACTGTTGTCTTGTAGCTATGTACTGTGAACATGATTCTCTCTSTGTGTGAATAAATTAATTAATAAACTTAAAACCTAATTTAATGGGTTTGACCATGAATTATTTAACATTTATATAGTAGCAATTAGCATTCAGTAGGAATAAGAGTTCCATCTGTTCATTCCTTTGACCTTTGCCTTATCCCCAAATGTTTGCTCTTATAGGAAACCTCCCTGTTCCTGGTATGGAAAAGTACCAGCTAAGTACTGGGCTGTATTACATATGCACAGGTATCATGTAGCTAACAGCTGTCTGCAGAATCTAAATCTTTAAAAAATGTTCATTCAGCTGTTTGATTCTGTAGGAGTGGAACATATATGCCAGTTGAAGTTATGGAACAGTCAAACAGAGCACCATGTTGCTCTCTGACGTACCTTTAGTGAACGGAGCAGGATGATAAAGGAGTCTCCTCTTTATGACACAGCGTCCGTGCAGGTTCTCCACCAGGGGGTACAGACAGGGCCCACACCGGGCGCTGCCTGGCTGGCAGAAGTGCCGTCCTGCACGGGCACAGTCCAGACTGCGAGGGCACACATGTAATTCTAGACAGGAAGTTCAAACAGACACAGATGGTTTTGAATGAGACTTCAGCGAATTATGACTTTCTGTTTTATAAGAAAATATCATTTTGCAGTAACTGAAGCAGCAGAAATGGATAAGTCTGTGAAACACATTTTGTGGGAAGTAGAAAGTTAATAGCAGGGTTTCTTTTTGTAAAATCAAAACTTCTGTGTGAGGGGATTTTTGGTGATATTTAGGTTTACTGCAGTTTGTAGTGCAGGACAATCCATCATTAAATAAACTTTGACTTAAAAAATACAAAATTCAGTCCTACAAGGACAAAGACTGTTGTCATCTAACACCAAAGGAGTGATCATGTTTTATGTCGGTATCTACACTCACCGGCCACTTTATTAGGTACACCACGCTAGTAACGGGTTGGACCCCCTTTTGCCTTCAGAACTGCCTCAATTCTTCGTGGC